CTGAAAATTTCAAGTTCATAACTTTACCAGGGGCGGCTCCAGAGCACTGGGAATTGGGGGGTCCAATTCGTGAAGCGAGTCATTTGGGCGAAGATCACGATGCTGCACCAGTTTTACGAACAGTGAATGAAAGGTATCATGTGATAACATATACAAAGTTATTGTGCATCCTCTTTTGACACGTTTTTGCTATAATAGGCGGATCCAGGCGTCCAAAAAGGGGGGTTATTTTTTACCTCCCAACATAGGTGCCCTGACACCGCCTATGCATGACCAATACAATTTTAGTCGTTCTCTCATAAGAAAATTGTAACATAACAAGACCATTGCCACCCTTTTTAGAAACAGTACCAACAAAAACCTTATTTACTATACTTTTTGTGTACCCCCAATCTCAATGTTCTGTATCCGCCTATGATTTTTGAAAATGCATATTTTTAGGATCCATGTGAATTCCTGGGCTGGTTCATTCTCTATCGATCGGCAAAAGTTGCGTTAAGATTGGTTCAGAAACCTGGCCGTGATAAACAGTCTAAAATGTATCTGCAATTTGCCCGTTTTTACCCCCCTCTACCCCCCTATTGACATTTTTTAATTTTATTTTTTTTAGAAAGGTAGATCTCGTTGAGCCAAATCGAATGCCGTTTGAATTTTGAAAATCGGCCGGTTAGATCTCGAGATATCAAGGGGGGTCGTAAACAGCCCCCCCCCCCTGCCACTAATATGGGGTAGCCAGTAGCCTGCCACTAATAGGGTTAAGGTGCCGTAGATACCATGCTGTGTCACACAAGTATGCTTCAGTGCTCACGAAGCTGAACTCAAGTGCTACGATTCACTAAGCGACAGTATCTGTTCATTTGCATGCTGTCATTGAATGCTGCTCTATAACACAACTTTTGCATAGAAAAATACCTAGCACCGGTCCATTAGACGGCAAATTTAGCCCCGGCTTTCGTTTTCGTTTTTGCTTTTTGTTTTGTATAACTAAGCGAATATTCGAAGGAAAAATTATAGCATTAATTGTATATGTTCCAAATACAATTATGGCCGGAACACATGCTTCCCTCACTGAATGCCCAGGTAACGCGTTCCCGGCCCGTCCTGGGAGCTCCATACGGAGAGGTTCGTTCGGCCCCGCCCCCGGCCGATGTCTGGTACTGCGCATGCGCGTGGTGACGTCAGCACGGCAACAGGTCGCTGGCAGCACGGTGACTATAAATACGGTGATCTCATCTGGATTTGGTCACGTGATCATTTTCGAGCGCAGCGCACGTGCAGTTGTGGCGAGGGCACTTCCAGAAATTCTGGATCCATGCGATTTTGGAGCCAATGTAAAGTCTATGGGGAAATGGTTCATTTTTATTTGTTTTTCTTATCACACCTAAACTTTCAAGTTTTTCTCAAAGATACACCCTGATTCATGTGTAGAATTGATTGGTCTTTCATATGGTATCAATTTTAGATTTTTATCGGATAATTTCAAAAACTACTTACCATTTAAACTACAAAAAGAGGTGATTGCGGCTAAGCATTGCGACAGCCATGTCATGTCATTGGGAAATTACGATTTCTTGTGCATCTTCATTTTAACTGTTCTCGAAGCCAGTACCTACTGGATGATTCATGCGTAGAATTTGTTGAACTTTTGTCTTTTGTCACTGTTAATGCCTTTATGAAATAATTCATCAAATCATTTCGCCCCGGCCGACATGAACGCCGCTGTGAGCCGGTTTTGGCGTCGGGGAGAGAGAGAGAGAGAGAGAGAGAGAGAGAGAGAGAGAGAGAGAGAGAGAGAGAGAGAGAGAGAGAGGGGGGGACGGGGACGGGGACGGGGACGGGGACGGGGACGGAGACGGAGACGGAGACGGAGACGGAGACGGAGACGGAGACGGAGACGGAGACGGAGACGGAGACGGAGACGGAGACGGAGACGGAGACGGAGACGGAGACGGAGACGGAGACGGAGACGGAGACGGAGACGGAGACGGAGACGGAGACGGAGACGGAGACGGAGACGGAGACGGAGACGGAGACGGAGACGGAGACGGAGACGGAGACGGAGACGGAGACGGAGACGGAGACGGAGACGGAGACGGAGACGGAGACGGAGACGGAGAGAGAGAGAGAGAGAGAGAGAGAGAGAGAGAGAGAGAGAGAGAGAGAGAGAGAGAGAGAGAGAGAGAGAGAGAGAGAGAGAGAGAGAGAGAGAGAGAGAGAAGACCAGGGGCCATCGGTGAGGCGGCGTACCCGCGCGGGAGCTCCACGCCAGGTACTGGGAGCGGGCTCGCCTTTTCCTCGTAGTGACCCATCAAGGCTGGGCGGCGGCGGTACTAGTTTCGCAAGGGACAGACATGGAGCGACTCGGGACTCGTCTCAGTCCGGCCGCTACCCAGCCGCCCGCCGCGCCTGGCCGGGCTGCTGCTTCGCCGGCCGGGTGGCGCAGGCGGCCCTCCCGGCTCCCGCCCGTCTGGGATGCGCTCCCCAACCGCAGGGCGTCGGCGGCGCCCAAGAGGCACAAGAATAACGGCGGTGCTGCGGGCGGCTTGTGGGGTGACGGTGCCGCGCTCCTTCCCCGGCTCCTCGCCGTCCGTCCCCTCTCCCCGATGCCGTTTTCTTCCAGGGGAGGCGCCCCGGCCGCCGTGCCGGGGCGTAGCGCAGTCTGTGCTTTAAGTACAGCAAGATATTCACCCAGGCTAGATTAAGGTCACAACAACCTAGGATTAAGGGTGGCTACAGACTTTAGACTTAATGCAGACTTAACATGAAGGTATTATATATGCAACTAAATGACACACATGGTATTTGTTCTAACCTTCTCAACAGAAAGTGAACATGTCAGGACAGCACCCCTCGATGACCATTATACTCAAGGGGTGTAGGCACTGATTCCCCAGGGGTGAAGTGATAGGAGCACAAACATGAGTCACTAGTTGGCTCTGTTTCTTTCCTCCTGCAGGAAAAAATATATGTGTGATGCCCAATGTGAGGTAACTGCATATTATAAAGCTGGAAATATTGTACAAAGTTATGACAACACAAGCAAACTATGCATGTTACTGCTCTTGTTATTGCTATATTGATATGAGACCTCACAAGACACAAAAATATGCATGGTAAAAAAGGGAGCAACAATACATTTCAAATGTAGCTTGTCATTAAAATGATCATGAATTTCACTACATCAAAAGTGAATGAAATTAAGTGATAATCAAAGACTGGAAAAGAAGATCAGCATAACTACATAATATGTCTTGTTTCCAAAGCTAAAGTATGATCCTCAATGTTGCAAAAGTTGGTTGACTTTAACAATAACTTTGAATAAAAAAACAACATATGGTAAACAGTCACACTTCAAGGAAATCGCAAGATCCATCCAACCTTTGACATGCCCTGTTTGGAATGCTGTTAACATGCTATGATCTTCACAGAATAGGTAAAATCAACTCAAAATATTACATTCTTTTATTACAAATCATATCTTCCCATGAACTTCATTATTGTGACTGCAGAGCTCATTCAGTCAATCAGAGACTGTGCAGAGACTTCATCATTCAAACAATCTGAGAATCAATGTGCAGAGACTAACACTTTAAAATCTAGTGACATTTCACAAACATCTTTTATGCTACAAGCTTATGCTTACCAAACACTTTTTCATGACTCAAATATGGTGGTGTTTATTTTAAGTGAAAACATTCATCCAGCACTAAGCAGATTATTTCTAAGCTCCACAAAGTCCCAATTTCTGTTATATTTCGCTTGGAGTCACTTCATAGTTTGAACTCAAAGTGCCTTGTGGATTTACCTCAGTTATGTAGGTAAATCCACAAGGATTGATGGGCTTTACCTCAGTTATGTAGCTGCTCCCTCAATTTAAGTTTCTCGTTAAATTTCACTGAGGTGTTGCAAGATGGGCTGTAGCCAAATTCACTTCCCTGTTCGGCTGATGCTCACAATACCTGGACATTTTTAATTCCAATTTTTGTAGCTGTTAACAATTGATGAAGGCCCAAGTACCTAGACAACAATGACGTTACAGAGGAAACCCCTGGCTGTGTTTCACGGGCGCGCTGGCGCTGCCAGCGCAATCTGTGAGCTAGCGTCAACCTCTGGTAGTGTTTGAGGTATAGGCTTGTTGATGTCTCTATGGAAATCAAAAGTGGCTGGCAAGTGTCGCGAAACACCACCCTTATTTTTGCACAATAATGGTGTGATAACTGTTGCTGCAAGAAAATATAAGGTGAAGTGAAGACGTGAAGTAAAATCAGGTCAGACATTAATATATACCCAAAAATAGCAGTGTATGGAGTACCTATATTTTACGGAATTGAATGCTGTAACTGAGCATGATTAAGAGCATGATTAACTGAGACGAGCCGTGCTCGAAATATTATACAACTCTTCTCTAAAATATACATTTCATATAGCTTACTCATGAGCATCAGACTACTATATTTATCTAACTTCACCATAATGGAGTACCTATATTCACATTACCAATAATATGATGCACAACAGGCCATAGAAAAACAGGTGAATATGGAATTGTAACCCAATTTCAATATCAACATGGCACTTGGCATTAACAGTAAAACACAAAGTTTTTGATGTTAAATCAACAGAGAAAACTCCTGAACATAAACAAAATGATCAGAATGTATAATAAGGATAAAAGTATAAATAAAAATCGACGAATCAGCCTATCATCGCCTTACACATTCACCACTCCCCATTCCACGCACAGATTGTTTACCCCTTGGCTTACCCCGTGTTCGCAGTCTCCCGGACGACGAAGATTCTAAACGCCGTCCGACCAATCACGTTCAAGATCAGCGGGGCTTGGCCGCGGTTCTCGAACGTCATTGGCCAGATTACGCAGAATCTTAGTCGTCAGCAAAACTTTGAACACGGGGTTATATTTTTCGCTATGGTAACAAAAGCGCCAGAATTGACTACCAGAATTGGATCCGAAGGTCAAATGGGTCACGTGACTGTGCAGTGCTGGCAGCAGCGCGGCGGCCTGGCGGCGGCCCACGTCAAGCGCGCGGCCCGGGCCGCAAGGAGGCCACTGGCGGATCCTGGGGGGGGTCCACGGGGTCATGACCCCCCCCAAAAGGTCTGAGAGGGTCATTTGACCCCCCCCAAAAGCCGAAGACCTAAATGCGCTATAGACGCCGTCTTGCATGCTCAAAATCACCTGTCAAACACTTCTGAGCTAATACCTTTGTTTTTCTGGATCGTGTTGCGTGAAAAGGCGTATTGAAGACCAGAATCTTACTCGTTTTTGTCTCAACCGTGCGAGCACCAGGGGATGATCCAGGAAAACTCCAAGGGGATGGTCATGAATTTAATTCGTGGTGCCCCTACCTATACGCAAAATTAAAAACTCAACGGATTTCGGTCACTTAATTTTGGTGATGTCCTATTTTCATTTTTTATTTTGTTTGTTTTATTTTTAGTGCCCCTGGGCCCTGGCAGGTCAAAATCACGTCTGAGGCGAAAGAAATTCACGGGAATCCCAAAAATCACGTCAGGACATTCAGGGCCCTCTGACCAGCCTGACAGCTAGGGCCCTTCTTACTTCCTGGGGCCTCCAGTGAATAACCGCTAGTGTCTGTGTCTGACCGCTAGGGCCCCTCTGACTCCTCAGTAGGTAGGAGGCCCTCTGTAGAGGAGGTCCTCTGTAGAAAGGAGGCCCTCAGTAGAGAGGAGGCCCCCTGTAGAGAGGAGACCCCTTTAAAGAGGAGGCCCTCTGTAGAGAGGAGACCTGCTGTAGAGAGAAGGCTCTATGTAGAGAGGAGGCCCTGTGTAGAGAGGAGGCCCTCTGTGGAAAGGAGACCGCCTGAATGCAGAAGGCCCTCTGAAGAGTGGAGACCCGCTGTAGAGAAGAGGCCCTCTGAAGAAAGGAGGCCCTCTGTAGAGAAGAGGCCCTCTGAAGAGAGGAGGCCCTTTGCAGAGATGAGGTCCTCTGGCTCTTTGAAGAGAGGAGGCCCTCTGTAAAGGAGGCCCTCTTAAAGGGAGAGACCCTCAGTAGAGAGGAAGCCCTCTGTAGAGAGGAGGCCCTGTAGCTTCTGTAGTTAAGAGGCCCTGTGAAAAGAGGAGGCCCGCAGTAGAGATCGGTGGTCCTCTGTAGAGAGGAGGCCCCCTCTGTGTTTTGACAAATGTTTTTGCAAATTTTTCGCGGCGCTTCGCGCCGCCGATTTATGTACATACGTACAGGTCAATACGAAATCTTGACTGTAATTACATAAACCAACCGTGTCAAATTGAATCAGAGTTCATATGTGTGCTGTAAAGGAACTCCGGCTTGTACTGCAATGCTAAAAGGGTGGTAAAATTTGTGTTTTGGAGCTGTGTTTCGACACATTCTTTTGCAAATTTTCTCGGCGCTTCGCGCCGCCGATTTATACACCAATCAATAAGAGAGAAATAACAGTGACTGTAATAACACCAACCGTGTCAAATTGAATCGGAATTCATATGTGTACTGTGAAGGAACTCCGGCTTGTACTAGCATGCTAAAAAGGTTGTAATATTTGTGTTTTAGAGCTGTGTTTTGACAACTTTTTTTTGCAAATTTTTGCGGCGCTTCGCGCCGCCGATTCATACACAGGTCAATAAGAGAGATCGTGACTGTATGCTACTATTTACTAATGCATTAGGCTAAAAGTGAGGTAACTATATCTACTTCTGGGTTTTTAAGTCGGTCGACCCGCCTCCCCCCCCCCAGTAAAAAATCCGTGGCGACGCTCCTATATAGGTGGGTTTCACTAACTAAAACTACTGAGCCGAGTGACTTACGATAAAACTTCATCTTATAAACGACGAAGATCAAATGTCATTTTTTGATCTCGACATACTCGCTCCCTACCCCCCCCCCCCCCCCGGTCGTCAGAATTCATTCACCAGACCTGGGATGTCGGCCGACTGGTGACCCCCCCCAAAACGACCCCCTAGATCCGCCCTTGAAGGAGGCTCACGCGAACCAGTGCCGTGGCAACCGGCGTGAACAGTGACCTCAGGTGTGACCTGACCTGACCCGAAAGCGGCCACCATGCCCGAGGCAGGACAGACCAACGTGGACCCGCCGGCGGGCGGCAGTGGGATCCGGTTCAACCCACAGCACTTCAAAACGACGCCCGGCATCATCAAGATCGTGGAAGTGGTGAGTGCCGAAGGCTTGTCCGATGGCTGTGACTTCAAAGGTGTATTTTACAAAATCTTTGAGGTGCAACTGCCGTACAAACTGGCATCCGATGCATTTACAATGGAAATTTCATCGGGTAGAAGTGAAACTTCTCACGACTAATCGAAAATGGGTCAAATCAGGTATTAGTGCACACGTGAACCTTGGGGGCGTGGCGACACAGCGTATTGGATACTGCACTTTTTAACAGATAACAAACATCTACGCAGAAACTTACACATACTAGGCTGCATGTTATTATCACATAAGCTCAACTACCTCACACAAGGGATTGGCGTGCTTCTGAACACATGTTTATTATTCCTTAGGCTGACCGACAGCCGTGCGCTGCATTCGAAAGGTCACGTTGCGAAATCCCTCACATGCTTATTGCTTGCACTTGTCGTTTTGTGGCTTAGCTCAGCATCATTTGCTGCGTATGATAGAGATGGACTTTATAACACAGCTTTATTACACAAACCGTCCAAGTTTCGCTGCGTTGGCGACTGTTGTTGCCGGCTTCTGAGGCGTCCTGAGGCGTCAGGCGTCGCTGTTTAGTATTCAGACCCCGCATACTCGACATGAAGGCATGCATCGGTGATCAGAGGGTGGCCGGTGTTCCTCAATCCTGTTCGCAATGTGTGCTGGACAAGTGCTGTGGTGAAGCAGCTTTCCCTAAAATATCAACTGCCGCCCGGTACTTATTCGCTGTTTACTGCACTCTGCAGTATGCGGAATGGAAGCAAATCATGGACAGCAGTGATGCGGAGCCGTACAAATGAACGGCTCTGGCTCTGAGCAAACTGCTCCGGCAGCTAGCTCCGGCTTCGGCTCCGAGTCCGTTTCCGGCTCCGCATCGCTGATGGAGAGCGTATGCTAAAGGCTGACCTCGTCATCATCGGCATTACACAAGCGCTTCCGCCGCTAACATCGTTTGCACGTCAACGGTGAAAAGTCACCGATATGCGAGGATGCATTTCTGAAATCGAATACGGCATACATTCAACCCCGCTTTTTGGCAAACATCCTTCATACGCTTCAATAAATAATATCGGCGCCGTCGATGGTCACTGCCGCGCCTCGTATGACCTGTGACGTCACCGATCAGTGACCGCTGTCGGCTCGTATGACCTGTGACGTCATCAGTGACCGGGTGACAGCGGACACTGACAGCGGCGCCGGTCATCGGCTCTGCTGCCAATGTGGCATCCTGCCAGCAGCGGCGGGGGCGGGGGCGGGGGCGGGGGCGGCACGGGCGGCACGGGCGGCGGCGGAGCTAGAGTAGACTAGCGGCGGCGGCGGGGGCGGGGGCGGCACGGGCGGCGGCGGAGCTAGAGTAGACTCCGGCGGCGGCGGGGGCGGGGGCGGCAGCGGCGGGGGCGGCACGGGCGGCACGCGGCGGCGGAGCTAGAGTAGACTCCAGCGGGGGCGGGGGCGGGGGCGGGGGCGGCACGGGCGGCGGCGGAGCTAGGGTAGACTCCATCGGCGTCGCCCATCGCGCTGCACTTTCACCAACGCAGGGCGGGCGGCGCCGACAGAGCGTACTAAAGACATGATATAGAGCTTCAGAGAATGGCGCGGTGGAGCATAGCATAGGGAAGATAAATGGCGTCATCGCTTAGGTGTTCAGCGATGCACCTTATCGTGACAGTGCAGGCGTGCATTGCATGTCACGCATACGATATTTATGTTTCGTTTTGGCAATATTTGGAAGCCCTTCCACGGCGGTTTCCAGAGAAGGAGCAAGGAGTTGGCGCTAAATTGAGCCACTATTCTATAGATCACAACGTTGATTTTTTTCCTGTCAACACAGAAGGTCACTTACGAATGGTGAGCATATTGTCAGTTGTGGCCACCACTGTCATAGCGTGTGAGCGGCAGCACAGACGTGCTGCAGAAGATGCCTCCGACATGCCTGCACCAATTGTTCCTCGTAAATTATTTCTCGTAGAGCTGTCGGTTCATTTAGGAGTGACCTATGGTGCAATTGCTCTCATTCCCAACACGAGCTGTGTACAATGTGCACCGTGCACCACCATAGTGCACGGTACCGTGCAGCGTGCCGTGCCGTGTGCACGGGTCGTGACCCCGCGGGATCGGACGGGCGGCAACTTTCACTTCCATGAGTGCGCCCAGAGCGGCGGTCCGGTCTCGTTGGTGTTATGAGAGGGAGAGGCTTATGAACGGCGCATATTTGTTATATTTACTGATACACGATGGAAATATGCCAACGCTAATGAAGCATAGTGCATTTTGATATTAATCAGGCATCATGAATTTAGGACCTGTATTTGAATTAATATCTATCCATGATTTTTTCGCCAAGCCTTTGCTCCCTCCGTTCTCTCCCTCCCCTCGCTGCTGCGCGGAATGGAATTCTGATTCACCCACATCCCTCGCTAACCTGCCTGACAGGCGACAGCTCACCAACCTACGTGACATGGTCGCGCACCGACAGCGACCATATGCTGCCCCCTACCCCCGGACAGGTGAGGGGGGGAGAGGGAGTGGGCGTGGCCTGTCAGACTACATAGATCGGGGCTGTTTGAACGAACCTTTGATCGCCAACGTCCAGCGAAAGGCTGGTCAGACAAGTTGTTTTTGGCCTTCAATGATTGGCAGAAGTGAGCCACGAGTGTCTAAGATACTCACATCTAGTGCTCTTTTTCGATAGGCGTTTCCTGCTTTTGACTCACGTCCAAAAGTGTTTGTTACCAATGCGAGGTGAGATCTGCGCCAAGGCAGCTTCCCAGATGATTGATCACCTCATCTGCCGCCCTCTGCGGGTTATGAAGGTCAGCGGCGGCAGACGTCATCCACGGGTGACGTGGCAACAGGTGTGACTGGTGACGTCATCCCACGGCTAGTGACGTCACCAGGTGTGGGCAGCTGACGTGGTGCACCATACAGGCAGGCCCCGCACTCCGCAGCCGCCATCCCACCCGTATTTCTTGCCACCACGACGCTCGACATGCGCATTGAACATTGAAATATTTATTTTAAAAAATCAAACTGCCATTACCTAAACCTTGCCGATGTTCTTGAGATTCAGACGGCAGCAAGTTTCGGTCTAGGGTGGTAGGACGTCGTGAAATACGAGCGTGAAAATGTCACTTCATTGGAATTTTTAAGTAAATGTTCAATTAATTGGAATGTTTTTTTTTTATTTGACTGATATTACGTAACTTATCAAAAGCTCTTCAATGTCCAATGTCCATTGTAAAATAATGCCATCTCATCATTGGCGTCAAGTGGTTATGTGAGCGCTCACAACTCTAGGGCCAGGCTACTTCTTGCGACGTTCCGTGCGGCCCATGCATTGTGGGTACACACACACACACACACAGCCGCAAAACCGTCAGCCGATACTTTCAGCTGGGGAGGGGGGGGGGCGCACGTGGCGGCCGGCGGCCACTCAGCTGCCTTGCGGGAGAGGGGGGAGGGGCTGGGGGAAGCACCCTCCTGTCGGTTCACACTGCCAACACACAGGCCAACCGCTAATCTGTATACCATGGGCTTCCTAGGTGAAGGGCTCAATGAGATGGGTGTGAGAATACACGGGGAAAATAAGTGGATATTGTGGATTAAGTAAAATTGATATGCCCGAAGTCCATCAACATAGTTTCGGCCATCATTGAACTTTTGAGAACTTGAGATGTCAATATATCATATAACTTAAAGGGCATGTCAGCATTGGAGCAAACATTGTCACTTATTTCGACTTGCCACACGTCCTACCCGAAGCCATCACGCGAACGCCCAACAGTAGATTTCATGTCATGCTGCTAACTAGGTGTGTAGCTGTTTGCCGTGTGAAGCACGGCAATGAATTTCACAGCAGCAAGTCTCAACAGCAATCTCTATGTAAGTAACCAAATTTATCGGTCTCGCCTGTCTGGCACCTTTTCGGCCTTCCCTTTGTTTTGCAACCCACCGGACGCCACATGAGCCGGTCTAACGTAAAGTTTGTCTTTGCTTTGCCTCTTGGGCCGGAATAAAATAGCCGGCAATTAACTTAACGTAAAACAAAAGATCTGGCTAATTGCCAGCAAGTAACTTCCCTTCCCCTGCTATAGCCTTGTGCTAGCGGGGATGCAAAATTCAAAAAAAAAAAAAAAAAAAGCGTGAATCACGCGTGACGTGACCACTCACGTGTCACCGTTCCACGTCCCCGCCCGGCCCCCGTCCCCGCCCCGCCCCCGCCCCCGCCCCCGCTCACGGCATGCCACTCTTCTCCGTCATGCACATTCAGTATGCACGCCAGCCTGCTGACAGTCGTCTGCTCCTCACTGAAACTGCGACACCGCTCAATGCTCAACAGATACACACCACTGAAGGCTCGCTTACATTGCCTATGAGATTTATTGTCCTACAACACGCCGCCCAAACTGCCCGCCCACATACCTACACCTGCCTACCTGCCTACCTGACTTACCTGCCTAACCGTGCCTCACCACTCTGCCTAGTGCCTGCCTAGTGTCTACTGCCTATCCGAGACAATGTCTCTGCAATCTGCATCCCCTCCGCCTCTGCCGCCGCCGCCCCCGCGGCGGCCGGCGGCATCACTCAATGTTTGCCGCTCCGTGCTGGCTGTTTTGCTCGGCAGAGTTCTCAAGGTCATCGGCTTACTGTGCAGCGGACTGGCCTTGTGAACTGTGCACGTGGTGCATTATGTGGCGTGCACTGTGCACGCTGCGTGCCGTTTAGCCACCGTGCTGGGGCTATTTGTTGTTTCTGAGGACTGCGCCGCATTCAGTTGGACGAGAGGCTGAGATATTGCTGGCTGTGATCATGCTAGTTGCAAGGTTATTTGCTCGATTGGTTTCATAAAATTTGTTTTAAGTTTGCCGAAACTTAGGTGTCCCTACGAGCCGAGTATTTCAGACCTTGCAGTAAGTTCGTAAAATCAGCCATAGAAGGCAACGTGTCATTCTGTCAGCGATGACGGGCCCAACTATGAAGCGCCAAACCTCGCAGCC